AATAGAGAGACGACAAAGTACTGACTTAGAAACAGTACACACTTCCATTGAAAATCCAATTCTTTTAATACCGATAACGGATCGTGCCATTAATCAATATAAAAATCAAATTATTTTAACTTGTGGTGATAACACCGAAACTCTCTATAAAAGAGAAAAATTATTTGAAAATACAAGATTTCTTGTTACCTTATCTCAAAGAAATTTAGAAGAAAGTATTGTAAAATTTGCTAGAGAATTTTTAAATCCCAAAAGTACATATGCTTTGTATTTCAAAATTTCTCACCTAGCTGAAATCTTTGTAACTGTCCTGCAGAAATTTTTCAAACATTCTGCTTTTAAACTTATTCACTGTACGAAATTTTTAAATGACCTCCTAACAATAGAAGCTCAAAAAGAAAAATTAGAATATTATCATGTCTATAAAAAAGGACATCGTGGTATTAATGAATTGAAATTATCTTTAACTAAATTTTATTATTGGCCGAATATTTCAAAAGACATAGAAGAATTTGTAAATAATTGCGAAACATGTCTTAAAAACAAATATGATCGGAATCCCCCGATTGTAAAATTTAACTTAACCCCAACAGCATCAAAACCTTTCGATCATGTACATATAGATGTATTTCGAATATCTAATACCCCTTACCTTACTATAATCGATTCATTTTCAAGATACGGTCAAGCATATCCTTTAGAAACTGTTAGTGGTATCTCAATTGTTGATAATTTATTAAATTTTATATCCCATCACGGACTCCCTTACAAAATAACCGCGGATTGTGGTACCGAATTTAAAAACATGGACCTTGAAGATTTTTGCAAGTTGCACAAAATAGAACTTCATTTCACTACGGCAAAAAATAGCACCTCAAATTCTCCAGTAGAGCGTTTTCACTCTAGTTTAATAGAGCATTATAGGTGCTTAAGAGAACAAAATAACGAATTATCACCAAATCAATTAATTAAGCATTCAATATTAAGTTATAATAATTCTATACATTCTGCTACGAAATTCACGCCATTTGAAATTACTAAAGGCCATATTAATAACCCTGATCCTTTCGATCTCGATGATCATCACATTCTTTCCTTTTATGTTCAAAACCACAAGGAAGCTAGCAAACAACTTTATAATATTATCAAAGAACGTAATGAAAAAGTCAAAGAAAATGTAATTAATAAAGCCAATGAAAGTCGTTTTAATCCTCCCGACTATTCAGGTCAAGAAATTGCTTATGTTCGTACAAAATTACGTGATAAAAAATTGCCCAAATTCAAAAAGACAGAAATAATTGAAGACAACGGTGTTTTGTTGAAAACCAACAAAGGCACCTATCATAAGAGTATAATTAGGAAACCTAAAATTAATTTAGAAAACGTTTTACAGGATAACCAGGACAATGAAATCACTGATGATCCTGCTGTACCTGGTCCTTCAAACGTCTAAAATAGAATGTAGTACCGAAGAAATAAGTATAACCCCCTTAGAAAATCTTATTCTTCCCATAGAGTTAGGCAACGCTAGGTTAATTTACACAAAGCACACATTTATCCATTACTTAGATTTAAAAGTAGTTCTTAGACAAATAGAATTATTGCATAATCATTTTTCTATAATTAAACAATCTGTAGTAAAAAGTAACGTTTCGAACCCTATTTCATACCATGGCTTGAGTGAAAATATGCTTGAAAGAACAGAATTTTTGATTAATTCCTTAGGAAGAAAATTTCAAAATTTGTATCCTCATATGCGTTCAAAAAGAGGTATAATAAACGGGGTTGGAAAAGTCAATAAGTGGCTTTTTGGCAACCTCGACTCTGATGATGGAGACCGCTATGACAGTGCCATTAAAATTTTGCAGGGAAATCAAAAACAGATAACAAACGAAATTAACTTACAAACTTCACTATTTCAAAAATTGATAGATCATTATAATCAATCATTAACAATATTATGGAAAAATCAACAAAAACTTCACGATAATTTAAAAAGATTCCAAGACGCAATATATAACGAAATTGACTCTTTAAGCAGATATATAACCTTTCAAGGAACAATAAGCCAAATAAACCTTGACTGTCAAAATTTAATATCATTTATAGACAATATTGAAAATGCAATTCTCTTTTCCAAAATGAACACTCTGCACAGCTCTATAATATCGAGCTATGAAATTTCAGACATGATAAAATATTTACAGAAAATTTACAAAAAACAAGAAATTCCAAATTTTAATAATATCTTAACATACTATACCTTTCTTGGTACTCAAGTTACCTTCTCCAAATTAAAATTAATTTTTGCTATCCACGTCCCTATCTCAAAAGTCGAATCCTTAGAATTTTATCAAATATATCCCGTTATCCAAAATAATAAAATGTTCACACCTTCATACCCATACTTGGCACGCAACAAAGAAGAAGTCCAATTGAAAAAAGAAGAATGCCCAAAACTTGAAAATACCTACTATTGTTTACAAGATTTTATCCCGAGGGATAACTGTACTTTACAACTTCTCGACGGCCAGTTACCAGAAGGATGCTACGCCACTGAAGTAAATTTGCAAGAATCAATATTCGAACAAGTTGCTAGCAATCAAATCATGATTGTTCCCAAAGAACCAGAAAACGTTAAGTCGTATTGTAGAAGTAACCAAATTTTCAAAATTCAGAATCCAACCCTTATTCGCATTCCAGAAGGCTGTAAAATCACGTCAAGAGATTTTACATTTTCAAATGAACAAGAAATTCAAAAGGGAAAAACGCTAATTCTACCAAAACTCAAAATTGAACTTTTTAAAATTCGAAGAAATTATCAAACTTCAAATATCAGTAAAATAAATTTCGACAACCTATACGAAATCAATAGAATCGCCAATCAGCTATCGCCAATAGATGAACCAAAGGACTCTTACCAAATTCCAATATTAACAATATTTTCAACGTTAATAATTTTATGTATAATGGTATTTTTATACATTTTTGTAAGAAGAAGATGCCAAAATTCAAAAACGAAAGAAAAAGAAGCCAACATGGAGGAAATTCCAGAAAATTCGGACCGCAAAAATAACTCCCTTATTTTTGCGTCTTAAGGACGGAGGAGTTACGTGAGCGTATACAGCTGACATTCGGACTCCTTATCGTATCATATTATATTTCAGTGCTTAGCTTGTTATTTTAATCTTTTACATTAATTCTCTAGTTTATTAAATCAGATTTTGTCTAGCCTTTACCAAGCAAAGACGTTTGTAATCTTAATCAATAAAATTGTTTTTAAAAAACCTGTATCAGTTTCAAAATATATATTTACAGCCTTTATCTTGAATGCTGCTCAGAATTAAACAAATTACCGGTAAAGGAAACATACTATAGGCATATTTTTTGTACCGAGTTTAATTTAAAATTCCATAAGCCTCACTCAGATACATGCGATCGGTTGAACAATTTAATAAAAAATGGCCCCAGTATCGAAGTAATCACACAAAGTAAAGCAGAGCTGGAGGCACATCATAGAGTTGTAGAAAGTGTCGCAGCTTCCAAGAAAAGAGACACTGAATATTGCACAGAACACTCTCTCTCTCAACTCGCCTAATATGCTTTGACTTAGAAAAAACGCTAGCCACGCCTCTGCTCACTACTAATAAGGTATAATACCTCAGACAACTGTGGACCTTTAATTTCTGCATACATGAAGTAATTTCTGGCAAATCTTACATGTATACTTGGAATGAAACCATTGCTTCACGAGGCTCTCAAGAAATTGGTTCTTGACTGGTGCAGGTAAAGTTTATTACTCCTATATAATTTGTTTGAAAATTTAATGCTAACTTGTTCATTCCATTTTTAGTATATTAAGCAGCTGCCTCCAGAAGTTAAACATCTAATCGCCTATTCTGATTCTTGTGGGGGACAGAATAAAAATAAAAACATAGCTAAGCTATTTATGTATCTGGTTCAATGTACCAATCTGGAAAGAATAGATCACAAATTTTATGAACCTGGGCATTCATACATGGAGTGCGATAGAGCTTTTGGGCAAATTGAAAAAAGGAAGAAGAAATACCCTCATGTATTTATACCTGATGATTGGGTTGACATTATTAAAAAAACAAGCAAAAATTTCATTGTGACATGCATGAGTGGTGACGATTTTCTCTCATTCCAATATCTTCATGACAACATAAAAGATCCAAAGAAAGATGAGGAAAACAAAATATTCAGATGGCGTCAAAATGTGTGGTTTACTTATAAAAAGGATGACTTTTTGAAGTTTTCTTTCAGGATATCAAGAAATGAAAGCTGGGCTCCCATTTACACCGAAAATTGCTCTAAGCTAAAAAAGGGAAGACCAACCTTCACATTGGAAAACCTCAATAGCAAACTACAAGAATGCATTAAAAATTTCATATGAAAAGTATGAGAATTTAAGGACATTATTAGACTATATACCGCCTTGCCATCACCAATTTTATGTTGATTTGCCTCATGAGGGTAAAAAGGGCAAGAAAGGGAGAAAAACAGCTAATCCAACCGAGGTAGATATACCGCCAACTCCCGAGGTAGATCTAGATATACTGCCAACTCAGGCATCAGAAATCGAAAGTGATACAGACAACAATTTTACGGACCTGTTGGACTCGGATTATGATGATTAATTAATGTTCACGTTATTATGTTAATTATCTAAGCTAAAAATAAGTTTGTTATTTTCACTAATAAAACATTGCAAAATACAAAGTTTTATACATTTATTTCCAGGCAAAACGGTACAAGTGCACAAAAAAACAAAAAGGGGCAATTTTTAAAAAAGTGTCTTATGCTAACAAAATTTATGACAGTGCAACGTATAGGTTGCTGAAAAAACGAAAAACGCAATAGCCCTCTGGATTTTACTATAAAACAAAAACTTTAATGTTGAATAACTCCATTTCTCTTTTTTGTCACTTATACCCTTTTGCTTCTTACCCCTTCATTTAATAAAAAAAAAGAAACGGCTTGGATAAAATTGGTTCAAGATTTTAATTCAAATAACAATATTAGGAGGTAACATTATTTTCCAGGGTTACTTATTTACGAAGGTTTATATTTTTAATGTTTTAGGTAACTCGAAAAAATTTGAAACAAAATGAAATATGAGGCAAAAACCTATAAAAGTAAATTAAAAGTGGATGTAATGGGCACAGGGGGTGGGCCAAGCACCCTCAAAGAAAATAGTATTTTGGAAGAGGTGTTAGTTTTGATAGGAAGAGCAGGTGTTGAAATAGAAAACATTCCTGGTTCTGATTTTCAGCCTGCTGTAGGTAAACAAAACAGTTTCAAAAGTGTTACGTTTTTAAAACTCATTTTTCTTTTTAGTTGTCGATATAGCCGTAGGTCCTATAGAACCATTCTTTTTTTAAATGAATTAACTGAGAGTAAATCATTGGAAACTTGTATTTTCCAGGAATTTCAAGTTCAAGTTGAAAGTGGTGAGACAAGTGCAACCTTTCAGGTACCTCTTGTTCAACTTGCAAGCACCAGCAGACAAATAACGCCTTCGAGAAGAAGACCAATTGTAAAAGCTTCCATTAAAGAACAACTAAGCAAGGAAAAAGTACACTCTGAAAAATTAAAACAAAATATTTTGACTCAAAAGTTAAATAATGGAGTCCTAAGGAGATCCGAAGAAAGGGAGCTCTTTCAGTTAGCAAAAGAAAAGCGGAGCAAAGTATTCATCTGCCAAGCATTATTTTACAAAAATTAGAAAGTAAGATTTTGTAAACTTGGTTCATATATTTATATTAAAATGTTATATTTTTTTTAGATAACGAAGATGTAGATCCTTCCTTAATACACGCAATTTTTAAGGATTAGAACTTGTTTTACCAGGTCACTTGGGTTATTGGTTTTATTGAAGACTCGTTATTCTTATTGTATATTTCTTTTATTGTAGTTATTAATAGTAGTAGTAGGGACAAGTAAAGAGAGTTTTTAAGTAGTAGTAGTAGTAGTAGTAGTAGTAGTAGTAATATTGTATATTATATTATTATTGTATATTAGCAATATAATATTGTAAACTTGTTTTTTTTATTACTGTAAATACATTTTTATTACATTGATTTAGGTACGCGAAATAAAATACATATAAAATATATTAATTTTATTGGTTTTACAACATTCTATAAAATATATAAAAAAATGCCTTTATGGGAAATTGCAATAAAATGAAGTGTTAAATGCAAAAATCAGATAAATTCTATTTTTTACATTTTTGATTATACAGTGAGCATCATAAGTCTTACCCCCCTATCTAACTCGTTACTGGAGTATTGTTAGGAAAATCGCCGAGACAAGTCGATTTTTGATTTCTACAATGTACATTTTTGTATGAATAGTTTACCCTTAATTTCATCCCTTACTGGAGGGGAGCAACCTTTCAAAAAATTTAAATGGCATGGGGTGGTGAGTGATAGCTCATTTGAAAGGGGGTTTTATTCTCTATTCAACCGTGCAAAAATTTTGAAATTTGCTTCATTAATTCTCGACTAATTGTTGTTTCAGAATAACGGAAATTAACGTAGCGCACTCATCCTTAGAATTAAAATTCGGCCCTGCATGATATCGGTTTTGGTTCAGATGTGAAGTAAGACTTTTTGCCAATAGATAAGGTCACTGTTAGTTAAGTTGCTTTCCTATTTGCGATGTTTTGTTATTTTTAAACATTAATAAATCAACATGTAATGTAGCAAATTTATTTTTTTTGCACGGTTGAATAGAGAATGAAACCTCATTTCAAATGAGCTATCACTCACCACCCCATGCCATTTAAATTTTTCGAAAGGGTTGCTCCCCTCCAGTAAGGGATGAAATTAAAGGTAAACTATTCATACAAAAATGTACATTGTAGAAATCAAATATCGACGTATCTCGGCAATTTTCCTAACAAGACTTCAGTAACGAGTTAGTTAGGAGGGGTAAGACTTATGATGCTCACTGTATATAGGCAGTATCGAAAATAAATACTTTTACATTTCAATATAGGGCAAATTATTTTTAAGTTTAAATCATTGCTCTTGATTCTAAACGATTCTGATTTGCTTTATTTAATAAATAATTAAAAACCAATGCTGAACTGTGTATTGGATTTTGTTTTAATTTTACAAATATGCTTGATTACGTATTTTCAAGTGATGCAAAACTTTTTTATCAGTTATATATTTTTTTATTTTAAAAAACTTCCTTTTATATAAAACTTTTTGGGACACACTGAATAAGTTAAAAGTACTTAACTAATTTTTCATATAATTTGACTTGGTCACTTTTAGCAATATACCTGAAGTCTTATATACATATCCACACAAAATAAAATACAATTTTCTTGTAAACTTGCACTTTTTATATTCAATTATTATAAAAACGATTTACAATCAATTCACGAGTTGAAAAATGTCTTTCATTGTTTTCATTTCTGATATTAATTTGCCCCTGTTCAATTAAAAGTTCTACGTTTTCAATTTTATTGGAGGGGCAGATCTTCATTTTGTTCAATGCAAATATTCACACTTCGCCTGAAGCACAAACAGGTTGACCCAAAATGCCAATGAAAACGAAAAACGGCGTTTTGTTGGCGTTAATGGTACATTAAAAGCTCGCTTGAATGAAAATCCTAGCTGATCCTTTTTTCAAGATAAGTGGATTTTCACTTTTTCATAATTTTTCATCATAACCCGGGAACGCCCAATCCACCAAAATTTTTAACCCCAAGTTTTTATTCTCGAGGGTCATGCGATGGTTGTTACAGCTCTTAAGAGAAAGGCTTTTTTCACGAAAAAATCGGTTAAACTGGGGCTTTTCGAGTGTGTTTTAAAGTGGTATCCGCTGTAGGCCTAATCCACTGCGAAAATAAAAATACGTAATACAACTTCCCTGTACAAAGAAGAGAATTACATACTAGTGTGTCATTTCCAGGCAAGAAAAAAGTACATAGACATATATGCGTTATACAGGAGGTATTAAACAATATCGAAATTGAGGTAGTAGCCTTAGTCGGCTGCAATGAAGCAAAAACACAATTTAGGCTAAATGAAAATGATGTCAGTGTTATTAAAAAATCTCAGTGTATAGAAAAATTAGAGTTTCCCCGTATAAGTTGTTCAGGAGACCGGCTAAGATACGAGTTTAACAAAGAAGTTCACGTTGATGGTTAGCTGTATAATACCTGTCAACTACAGGGTATACCAAGTGTCAATCACTAGATTAAAAGAAAAAATAGTGTCATTTACTGGTACCTCTGCAGCTTGTTCCTAATTGTTTTGCAATGTATCTTGCATTGCATTTTTGTTTGTTTTCTTATTAGTTTACCATTATATAGGTGTTAATAATTCTGTTAAAGTACACAATTTCAACCTTAGTTCAAAATAAATATTTTTTAATGCAATATTGATTTTGTTTTTCCTAAAGCTGTCAACTACTGGCTCCGTTGCCTTAATACTTGGGAAGCCTGCAATTAGAAAAAAATCCCTTTTAGCTTTTAACTTTTAACAGCTCTATATTTGTTGTGGGAAATTGTATATAATCATCTTTCAAATTACATATAGCTGCAGTGACCTTCCTAATTATTCAGCAACTTGTACTTACACCTGCCAAGTAATCAACTTGCATTAAAAAACTTCCCGTAGCATAAAAACGCAGTGTCAATAATAACTGATTTATAGGGAAAACTGATTCATTTCTGAAAAAAGAAAACAGTAGGTACTTTAATAACTGTATACAACAAATTATTCTAATTAAATTAAATTTAAAATTTTATTAATTTATGGGTGAAGCAACTTACCTATCACTTTCAAATTCAAGAACTTCAATTATTTCTAATATTTGTAATGCCGAATTTTTACGTAATCGAAAACGCCGAAATAAATCAGTTTCGTCTAGTGTTTCAAAATAATTCGCACGCGGACGAATTATGTGTTTTCGCGGCCCTTCATCGTCAGTCTGATGAACTGTCGAACCTTTCGAGGCGTTCTATAAAACGTACGGTTCGTAAATTTTTTAAATAATAGCTAAAAAACTCTCTAAAAAAATTATGTAAACTTATCAACAAAGACGAATGAAAACAAACTATTTTAAGGTTAAGGGGTGCGTTCACTTTGAACATCGAACGATATTCGGCGCGAATATCGTTCACTTTCGACGTCGAGTGAAACGACCAGGCAGCCGGCTTATGGAGAAATAGGTTCCAGTTAATATGCCTGAATTTTTGGTATGTTGAAGATATCGACTTCCTGAACAATAGTGTCCATGGGCACAACTCAATCATATGGCCAGTTTTCAACATACAGGGTGATGAAGTTGAAAAATAGCCATTTTTTAAAACGTATTAAAATATAATTTTCTCAATATATTAAGGATTTTTTGCTGTAATAGTATTCTGATAACATCAAATAATATTGCTTTGTGTAGAAAAAGTATTATTTGATACAGGGTGATTCAAAAATCACCAGAAAATTATTGATGATGTGTATTCTACTTTACAGTGGGAATATGCAAATATTAATATTTTTGGTCTGAATTAACTTAAGTTGGACTTATTATAAGAAGGTATAAAAACATTTAATACGGGGTGAGTCAAAACGTTGATTGACTCTGCAGGTTATTTTTAATACAATTTTATATATTTTGTAATACAAGTCAGTAGTCGACATTGAACCATTTTCAAAAATATATAATTTATAAATTAAATACAGGGTGATTCAAAAGGTATATAAGGTAGAAAATTACGAAAATTGATTTTTTCTGCGAATCACCCTGTGATTTAATACCCAGGTAGCCACCAAGACGTAAATGACGTCAATAGAACGTCAATTATTGGTCATTTTTGGTCACATACGTCATGGGACCAAAAAGTGACGTCTTTGGGACGTCATTCTAAGTGACGTCAGTTGGCCGTCAAGTGTAGAGACGTCTTTCTGACGTCTTTTTGTGGACAAATAATTTAAATCTTTAAAAACATCAAGTTTAATTTTTTTTATTTGTTGAAACTATGAAATGGAGAAAAACAATCCCTAGAGCCTTTAATGGTTTAAGGTTTGTTGGTAATATGGTAATACAAAAGAGTAGAGTTATACGTAATACTGATATTGATTAATTTGACATTTACGCATTGTTGTCACATTATAAAATTTTCATATTCTCAGTATTATTGCTAACATCGTCATTTAAATAATTATTTTCTGAATACTAAAATGTTACTGCAATTATTTGATTTGAATTTAAAAGATATTGGCACTTATTAAAGGATTACAATAATAAATGTAATTAAATTGTTACCCGTTTCCTTATTTGGATTTGTAACAAAATTTTATGAGATGTCTCGTCGGCAACGCTGTCTTGATGAGTACAGGGGCAACGAATACGAACGAGTAACGACGAACGGCTAACCCGGTTAACCGCCAACCGCCATTACATTACCGCCAATTTGCAAAAACGACAGCAAGAACGTTCATGTAAAGGTGACGCCGATTTTGTGATTGTGACTTGAGCTGCTTTGCTGCTTTAAGGATTATCTATGAGGATTATATTTTTAAGTGAGTGTATGTTAGTTTACATTGTTACCATGTATTATGTCATTCAGTTTGATGAAACGGGGGATAACAGTGTAGCAGTTGTAGATGAAAACTGGTTGACTCCTTTGAAGAGACAAGTTTACTGGCCCCCACTGAAAGATACAAGAATTTTTCGGCGCGCTTTGGCCGAGCATCAGGAAGTGGATTCGGAGATTTGGAAAGTTTACGGGGTAAAAAAGATATTTTTTCAAACCGGTAAGTGTATTCCTCAAATAAAACTTTTGGAGGCAATCTTTCAGTTTAAGGTAAAGG